GAGGAGGAGGAGGAGGAGCAGGAGCAGGAGCAGGAGGAGGAAAAGGAGGAGGAGCACGACGAGGAGGAGCACAATGAACACGAGAGCAGGAGCTGTGAAGAGGAGGAGGAGGAGGAGGAGGAGGAGGAGCAGGAGCAGGAGCAGGCGGAGGAGGAGGAGGAGGAGGAGGAGGTGGAGGAGGAGCAGGAGGAGGAGGAGAGAAGGAGAAGCAAGAACAGAAACAGGAGCAGGAGCAGGAACAGGACAGGACAGGAGCAGGAGGAGCAGAGGAGGAGGAGGAGGAGAGGAGAGCAGAGCAGGAGCAGGAGGAGGAACAGGAGGAGGAGGAGGAGAAGGAGGAGGAGGAGGAGGAGGAGGAGAGGAGGAGAGGAGGAGCTGAGAGGAGGAGGAGGAGGAGGGAGGGAGGAGGAGGAAGGAGCAGGAGCAGGAGCAGGAGCAGGAGGAGGAGGAGGAGGAAGAGGAGGAGGAGGAGGAGCAGAGCAGGAGCAGGATAGGAGAGGAGGAGGAGGAGGAGGAGGAAGAGGAACAGATGACCTCCATCTCTCCCTTACCCATGCACCTCTCTACCTCCTCCCCCTCCTCCGCCGCCTCCCCTCTGCTATCCCCTCGCCCCCCCCCCCCCCCACACACACCCGCACAAGCGCGAAGACTGCCGCGCTTCGGGCTTCCCAGCCCTGGGCCAGGCTAGGACCCCCGGCACGGTCGGTCACGGGCGTCGCGCGTCCGACGCAGGTTTTCTTCGTTTGCGGCCGCTGGAGGCCCTGCAGGTCTCGAGGGGGGAGGAGGACCTATAGGGCGACGAAGCCTGTACCCAGACATGACCGCGGCGTAGAAGTTCAGGACGGAGGTTTTTTTCGCTTTCTTCGGCCCCTGCCGGCCCTCGCCGGGCCCCGGGACCGCGAGCAAACGGTTCAGGATGAGAAGCCAGCCCTGGAGGAAGGGTCGGGACTTCTGGGGACCGCGCACTGAAAAGATCAAGACGTCGCATGTCTGGGGCGCTGCCCCTCCGCGCGAGAGCGCGCGAAGGTGGCCCCGACTCGGGCGGCGTCGGTCGCGGAGCCGAGTGGACGACCGGGCTCCCATGGCAGGTGCGGGTGGTCATCGACTTCTGCCTGCGGCGGATGCTGACCCACGACCGCACACGCCACGGCCTGAACTGCCTGATGACGCAGTGGGTCTCCCACGCTTCCGCCTCGCAGCGGTCGCGCTGGCCCAGGAGGAGAGGGATGAGGGATGATGTATGAAGGATGAGGGAGGATGATGATGAGGAGGAGGAGGAGGAGGAGGAGGAGGAGGAGCAGGAGGGAAAGGGGAGGAGGAGGAGGAGGAGGAGGAGGAGGAGGACGTAGAAGGTAGGAGGAGGAGGAGGAGGAGGAGGAGGTAGGAGGTAGGAGGAGTAGGAGATAGGAGGTAGGAGGTAGGAGGTAGCAGGAATGACGGAGGCAGGATGAGGGAGGATAAGGGAGGAAGTTCCCCGACCAGTGGTAGAGGAGGGACACGAGAGATGAGTGAGAAGGGAGAGGGGGTGTGGCGACGACATGAGCATACAATTGCGAGGGAGGATGTGTAGCAGCAACAGCCCGTGCTGGAGGACGACCTCGAACGAGAAACCAATGGATGAGGAGTGCGAGGAGAACGAAAAGGGGGATTAAGAGGAGAAGGCTGATATCGACGATGATGGTGATGATGATGGCGACGACGATGATGATGAAAATGATGCTGATGTCGATGATGCTGATGATGCTGATTTTGCTGATGATGTTGATGATGGTGATGCTGATAATAATGCTGAGGATGATGTTGATGATGATGATGCTGATACTGATGATGCTGCTGATGAAAATGAACGATGATGGTGATGATGGTGATGAATATGATGATGATGATGATGAGATGATGATGATGATGATGATGATGATGATGATGATGATGATGATGATGATGATGATGATGGTGATGTTGATGACAATGATGATGGTGATGACGATGGTGGTGGTGGTGTTGGTGGCGGTGGCGATGTCGGTGATTGTGGTGGTTGTGATGATGATGATTGTGATGATCATGGTGATCATGCTGATAATGATGATGCTGCTGCGGAGGATGATGATGATGATCATGATCATGAACCTGATGATGATTCTGATGATGACGATGACGATGACGATGATGATGCTGATCGTGATGATGATGCTAATGCTGATACTCATGATGATACGGAGGATGAGGAGAAGGAGGAGGAGGATGCGAATGATGATGGTGATGATGATGATGATGATGATGATGATGATGATGATGATGATGATGATGATGATGATGATGATGATGATGATACTGATGGTGTTGTTGATGATGATGATTATGATGCTGGTGATGATGCTGATTTTGATGCTGGTGCTGATGCTAATGATGATGATGATGATGATGATGATGATGATGATGATGATGATGATGATGATGATGATGATGACAATGATGATGATGATGATGATGATGATGATGATGATGATGATGATGATGATGATGACGATGATGATGATGGTGAGGATGATGATGATTCGGCTGAGGATGATGATGTGGATGCTGATGCTGATGCTGATTATGATGCTGCTGCTGATGATGACGACGACGACGAAGATGATGATGATGATCGGATGCGCTGTCGACGATGATAATGCTGTTGACGGCCCCTGTCCATGAGCGCGGTCGAAGCGCAGGCAAGGAAGAGGTCGGATATCATTATGGTAAGGAGGATGGCAGGAGGCAGGAGGCAGGAGGCAGGAGGCAGGGGGCAGGAGGCAGGAGGCAGGGGGACGACGAGGCAGCAGAACATGCTCCTCTGGGCTGGCAGGTCTGGCCGGGCTGGGCGCGTCTTCCCGGGCGTGGCGATCCGCCTGGTTCCACGCGCATTCTACGCCTCGGTCATGCCGCAGTACGACCCTCCGGAGGCCGCGCGAAGAGGAGGAGGAGGAGGACGATGACCATGATGATGATGATGATGATGATGATGATGATGATGATGATGATGATGACGATGACGATGATGATGATGATGATGATGATGATGATGATGATGATGATGATGATGATGATGATGATGTTGATATTAATGTTGCTGCTGCTGCTGAAGATGATGATGGTGATGATGATGTTGATGATGTTGATGATGATGGTGATGTTGATGGTGATGCTGTTGCTGATTGCGATGGTGACGATGCTGCTGCAGTTGATGATGATGATGATCACGCTGATGGTAATGATAGTGATGATGATCATGATGATGATCATTATCATGATCATGATCGTGATTATGGCAATGACTATGACAATGATGATGCTGGTCTTGTTGACGATGCTGACGATGAATGTTATTGTGATGATGGTGATGCTGCTGATGATGACGATGAATCGTCCTGATGATGATGATGATGAGGAGGAGGAGGATTCTGATCACGATCATGATTATGGTCATGATGCTTCTGGTCGTGATGACGATGCTCATGATGAGCAGGCTGATGATGATTATGGTTTTGATGATTAATATCCTGATCGTGATGACGCTGATGCTGATGATGCTGCTGATGATTTCGAGGATTAGGATATTGACCAGGATCATGACTCTGATGCTGATGCTGCTGGTGATGCTTATGCTGCTGATGATAAGCGTGCCGATGATGAATCTACTTATGATGATGATTATGATGCTCATGATGATCATGATGATTTGACGATTCTGGCGATGACGAGCATGATGTTGATGACGACCTTTAGTCTGGTGATGCTGCTGGTTATGCTGTTTATGTTTATGACGATGGTGGGGATGAGGATACGGATGCGGATGAGGATGATGATGGTGATGATGATGACGAGTTTGATGATCATGCTGATGACGGTGATGCTGATGATGATGATGATCATGCGTATGACGATGCTGATCATATTGGTGATGCTGATGCTGCTGCTGATGCTGCTGATGATGCTCATGATGAGGATTATGACCGTGCTTATGCTCATGCTTGTGGTCATGATCGCCATGATTATGGAGTGTTAATCAGATCATGATGCTGGCGATGATGATGATGCGGAGGGTTATGGTCATGATTGTGGTTATGATGACGATGCTGCTGCTGATGATGATGCGTATGTAGATGTTGAGGCTGCTGCTGATGGAGATGCTGATGCTGATGATGACGAGTGACGGGGAATCTGATGATGGCGATGATGTCGCTGCTGATGCTGAGGAGGATGTGGAGGAGGAGGGTCACGACGATGCTGCTGCTGCTGATGATGGTCCTGCTCCTCATTGTGCTGATGCTGGTGATGAGGATGAGGATGATGTTGATGATACTGATGATGCTGATGATGCTGATACTGCTCACGATGATGAGTAAGGGGATGATGCGGCTGACGATGGTGATGATGCTGGAGATGCTGCTGCTGGTGATGAGCATGCTGATGATGCTGACGATGATGTTGATCATGGTGGTGGTGATGATGATGCTGCTGATGCTGACCATGAGCATGATTATGATGATTGAGATGATGATGAGGAGGATGCGGGTGACGATGATGGCTATGACGAGAATGACGGAGATGATGCTGATGCTGATGCTGATGATGACGATGATGGTGATGGCGACGGTGATGGTCACGATGACGACGATGATGATGATGCTGATGAGGCTGATGATGTTGTTGATGACATCATGATGGTGAAACTGCTGATGATGATGATGGTGATGATACGTATGATGATGCAGGAGCTGCTGCGAATGCTGATGATGCCGCTGTTGATGATCATACGTATGTTGATGCAGCTGGTGATGGTGACGATTTTGCTGAAGATGATGACGACGATGATTACGATTATGATGATGATGATGCTGATGATGATGATGACGATGATGATGATGATGATGATGCGGAGGAGGATGATGCTGATGATGTTGATGCCGATGCTGGTTATGATGTGGATGATCATGATAATGTTGTTGATGATGATGTTGATGATAATGACGATGCTGATGGTGACGATGGTGGCGATGGCGATAGTGATGGTGATGATGCTGACGAGTGGCGAGGAATACGCTGGTGATGATGATGACGATGATGAGCGGTTTGATGAGGAGAAGGAGGACGACGAGCACGATAAGAAGCTTGAAGTGGGAGGAGGAGGAAGAGGATTAATTGGATGATGATGATGATGATGGTGATGATGATGATGATGCTGATGATGATGCTGATGATGATGATGCTAATGATCATGATGATCATGAGGATCATGATGGTCATTATTCTTATGCTGATTATGATGATGACGACGATGCTGATGCTGTTAATGATGCTGATGATGATGGTGATGATGAGAAGGAGGATGATTATCAGGAGGATGATGACAAGCGCGAGGATGCTGCTGCTGCTACTGCTGCTGTTGCTGCTGATTCTGATGATGATGATGATGATCATCATCATCATGACGACGACGGCGACGATGATGATGATGCTGATGTTGATTGTGATGGTGATGATGCTGATGATGATGATGATGGTGCTGATGTTCTTGATGATGATGCTTGTGCTGATGCTGATGCTGAAGATTATGTTGCTGTTGATGCTGTCGTTGATGAGGATGACGATGACTATGATGATGCTGATGATGATGCTGATGAGGATGAGGATGAGGATGACGATGAGGATGATGATGATGATGATGATGAGGATGAGGATGAGGATGAGGATTATGCTGATGCTGATGCTGATGCTGATGCTGATGATGATGATGATGATGATGATGATGATGGTGGTTCTGGTGATGATGATGATGATGATGATGATGATGATGATGATGATGATCATGGCGATGATGCTGATGATGATGCTGATGATGCTGCTGCTGATGATGATGGTGATGATGCTGCTGCTGCTGATGATGATCAGGCTGATGATGCTGATGATGCTGATGATGATGATGCTGCGGCTGCTGCTGCTGATGATGATGATGATGCTGATGATGATGATGATGATGATGATGATGATGATGATGATGATGATGATGATGATGATGGTTTTGGTGGTGGTGGTGGGGGTGGTGGTGGTAGTGATGATGAGGGTGGTGGAGGTTGAGGAGGAGCAGGAATAAGATACGGAGGGGGAGAGGGGGAGGGGGGATGGATGGAGGAGGAGTGCGTAGGGGGAGGATGGAGGAGGAGGAGCTTGCGGAGGAGGAAGAGTAAGGAGTAAGGAGCAAGGAAAAAGGTCGAATGAGGAAGGAAGAAGGAGGAATGCGGCGGCGCGATGTGTGACGGGCGTGCTCGCTTCCAGCTCGCTGAGCTCGTTGGCCGGTTCGGCGGCGCGGGTGAGTTGCGGAGGCTTCTGGGCCGTGGGGAACACTGGCACGCCTGCCCGCGGCACGCTGTTCTGGCCCGCTGCGGAGCTGGCCGTTGCCGTCACAGGCGCTGAGTCGGCGTGGCCTGCGCGCCAAGTGGCAGAGCGCGGCCCGAGACGGAGGCGGAGCCGACCTCCCAAGACTGCGCACAACACGGCCCGGTGGGCGGGCGCCCCAGCTTGACGGCGCAGCGGCCCCCAACGGAGTGCTTGTCGTGACGTGGGCGCCCACAGGACACGGCCCGCCAGGCGGGCAGTGGGGTGGCCTGGAGGCGACGATGGGAGCGAGTAGCTCCCGGGGGAGCCGCACGCGTGTCCAGGCGGGCCGAGGGTCCACGTCTTCGGCGAGGCTCCGCGGCGATTGCGTGTGATGCCCGCTCCTGGGCCACTCGCCCCCGCCGTCGCCGCCGGCAGCCCGTCACCCCCGACGCGGGGGCACCGCGGCCCCTCGACGGAGTGCCCGTCCCGGGCGCCCGCGGAGGCCCGGGAACCGCGTCCGTGAGCCTGCAGGCGGTGCAGGAGGCGACCGGGTGGGCGGAGGAGGAGGAGGAGGAGGAGGAGGAGGAGGAGGAGGAGGAGGAGGAGGAGGAGGAGGAGGAGGAGGAGGAGGAGGAGGAGGACGAGGAGGCCGAGAGGAGGAGGAGGATGAGGAGGAGGACGAGGAGGAGAGAGGAGGGGAGGAGGGGCGGAGGAGGAGGAGGAGGAGGAGCAGGAGGAGGAGGAGGGAGGAGGAGGAGGAGGAGGAGGAGGAGGAGGAGGAGGACGGGCCCCTCCGACGACCCCTCCGTGGACGAGGTGGGGGCGACAAAAAATGTTGGCGTTTGCGTGCCAGGGCATTTTTGTTTGCGGAGTTGGGCGCCCTGGCGCGGACGGCCGAACGACCCTTGCAGCGGGACGCGCTGGCCACGCGGTCGCCGCCGCAAAAACTGCCCGTTCAACGGTGGCGCCGGCTCGACGGGCCCCCCCGAGCGGGCGGCCCGCGTGTTGGTCGGCGATCGCGCAGGTCGGTCGGGATGTTGGCTCGGGGTGCGGCAAAACGGATTGGCACGGGTGCGGGAGCCGGGAGGAGGGTGGCCGTGGAGGGAGAATTGAAAGAGGGGCGGCGCTCGGGACAGGATGATGTGAACTGGGTGCAGGGAAAGGCGCAGGAACAGATGAGGGAGGGGGAGGAGGAGGAGGGGGAGGAGGAGGAGGAGGAGGAGGAGGAGGAGGAGGAGCAGGAGCAGGAGGAGGAGGAGGAGGAGGCGGAGGAGGAGGAGGGGGAGGAGGAGGAGGAGGAGGAAGAGGAGGAGGAGGAGGAGGAGGAGGAGGAGGAGGAGGAGGGGAGGGGTTCCACCCCGAAGGGCAAAAGAGGGTTGGAGAGGAAGCCCGCTCAGCCATTCGCGCACCGAAAAGGGCTGGTGGGAGTCTCCTCTTCTGCCCCACCTCCTGCCCCTCCCTCCTCCCTCACCAGCCGTCCTCCTCCGCCTCTTCGTTCCCCCATCAGCGCTGGACATGGGATGAGAAGGGCAGGATGAGGATCAGGAGGGGGAGCGGAGAAGGAAGGGCTGAAGATAAGTAACATTGAGGAAGATGATGAGAATGTTCAGGGGGAGGGACAGCGAGAGAGAGAGAGAGAGTCCCAACCTGCGGTCTTCTTTGAGTCAGACCCACCTCCGCACGCTGTGCGTGGAATTCCGTGAGGAAGCCGCCGAGCTTGGTGCTGTGAGCGCGGTCTGGGGACAAGGCTCGTTCCAAACAGCTGAGGCGAACAGGGAGCAGTGATCGAACTGGGCAATAGGAAAGGATACGATGGGAAACACAATTACACATGTGAACTCAGGGTGGGTGGAAAATGAGGGAGAGAGAGGGAGAGAGAGAGAGAGAGAGAGAGAGCGAGAGAGAAAGAGAGAGAAACAAATATATATATATATAGAGAGAGAGAGGAGAAGGGAGGGAGAGAGTGATGGAGAGAGTATATACAGAGAGAGAGGGACACGCACACGTATAGTTCTGCGAATGCACGTAGAGAGAAATAGAGAGAGAGAGAGGAACAGTGAGAGAGAGAGAGAGAGAGACGCACATGGGGGATAATATAAAGGGAAAGAGGGAAAACATACAAAACGAGAGGAGAGAGAGAGAGAGAGGGAGAACACACATTCATCTATGCATCTCCATATACACATATATACAATAAATGGAGGGAGAGGGATACATAGAGACGGATCGAGGAATCTATAAACGGATAGCGTGCGAGCGAGCGGCGGGCGAGCCAGCGAGAGAGCACCATGCGCAGCCCCGCGGAGCGCGCGCGCGCCCTCCAGATCGAGCAAGCGCCGCTCGAGAAACTCTACCTGCACGTGAAGCAGCTCTCCCACAGGCCCTCCTCCTCCTCCTCCGTCCTTCTCCTCCTCCTCTTCCTCCTCCTCCTCCTCCTCCTCCTCCTCCTCGACTCCTCCTTCTCCTCCTCTTCCTCCGATGCAGCGAGAAAAGGGAAGGCAAGTGGCCAAACCCTCCTTCTCCTCCTCCTCCTCCTCCTCCTCCTCCTCTTCCCCCACCGGCGGACGGGCGGGTGGCCTTCGCAGCGGCGGTTGGCGCCAGACACACCCCCCCCTCCCCCTCTCCGCCTGCCGCCTCTCTTCGGCGTCACCCCAACATACTTGTACTTATATGTGGTTCGACCCCCCGGGGGCGACGCGCGCACCGAGAAATATTATAGTATATGCGTCGTGGCGGGCGCTTTCTGGCTACACCGCTCGGGAAACGATATACTACAAGATGGGTATACTATATGTTCGGGTCGGACTCGCGCCTCCAAGGAGGACATATAGTATTAGTGTGTCTCTGTGCGTCCCATCTCTCTTCTCCCCTGAGTCTGTCCAGAAGATATCCGGCCCCCTTCCGCGTAGTGTTTTGATTCAGAGGATTGTTCTGAGTTTCTTATTATTATTATGTTTGTTTTATTATCTCTTGTTATTCTGTGTTTTTCTATCCGATTGTTTTCGGTGTTCTCCAAGTGGTGTTCCCGCTGCAGCGTGGGCCTCACTTTCGGATCGGCGCTCTGCACCCGTCGTTCAGAATAGCGCTCTCCCAGCGCAGGCCACTCTTCTGGAGTCGAGCCCTCTTTCACCGTTGATGCCCCCCTCCTTTCCTCTCCTGTGCCTTCCCCTGGTCCTCCTGCTCCCTCCCACTTCTTCCGCAGCCTCGGAGTGCCCACAGAGACTCAGACGCCGCCATGATCGCACCACGCTTGATGACTGCCTCGCTGGCTTGCACCCTAGCGAGAAGCATCTTCGAGTCGGTCCTCTCTTGCTTGAGCCTCCTCCTCCTCCTCCTCCTGTGGGTGCGGGTGGTGATTTTGGGCGGGGATGAAGATGATGCTTCCGAGCTCCGACCTGTGGTCACTGTCTTGCGCCTGGAAGAGGCGGCCACGGGAGGAAGTGCGAGCGGTAGCAGTCCTGTTGCCAACGATGATGACGCGGAGTCGAGCTCCGACCAAATTTGACACCTTTGTGCGTCCTTTGTCAGCGCCCGCCAGCTCTGTCTGGTCGTCGTGCGCTCCCGCGTTTTCCCGTGGGAGGTGCTACCAAGACGATGGCAGCCGGCGTCCTTCTCGCCAGTTCCCCGTGCTGTATTCTGGCTCTCGCGCCCCTCTCTGTCTTGGTGGGCGCCACTGCGGTGCGTGTGCAGTGGTCGCCCTCGTCTCGGTGCAGTGGTGTGCGAGCCGTCGTGGCTCCTCCTCTTACGTGCTTCCACTGCTTGGTGGGCGCCGCTGCTGTGAATGTGCCGTGGTTGCCATCGTCTCAGAGCAGTGGTGTGCGAGCCGTCGTGGCTCCTCTTCTGACATGTCTCCACTGTGCGGTCGTGGAGTTCAGAATCACCGCCTAGAGGGCTCGCCCGCCCCTGGGGGTGTATGTGGGCTACATTCGCGTGGATGCTAAACAAATCCCCCTCCTTCCACTCCAGTTCCTGCTGCGGCTGTTCGTCCTCGTCCTCATCCCTCCTCATCCCCCTGGCTTTTCCTCCTGCTCGTCCTCCTGCTCACCCGCCACCTCTTCCGCTGATGTCCACAGCTCCCCTTTCCCGACTGCGCATAGCATGATGCTTTTTTTGAGTTCCAGCTCGGCCCTAGCTCGCGTCCGCTGGTAGAGAATCAATCAGTGCAATCGGAAGGGATGTAAGGGAGGGGTCGGATGTCAGAAATGGCGCGAGCGGACCTATCTTGTCCCTTTCTCTCTCTTTCACTCTCTCCCTCCCCTCCCCTCCTCTGCTAGACATCTTTCCTTGCATCCTACGCAGCTAGAGTCACTGGAAGACCTCCAGGGAAGGAGTCAGTTCAAAAGCCTCTCTGGCGTTTACTTGTGAAGCTTTACGGTTGTGAAGCTTTACGGTAAGAGTCTGAGGGGTAAATCACCAGTGGGAATCAGTTGGAAAGCTACACAGCAGCGGTCATTTGGGCATCTCAACGGTAGAAGTCAAAGTTTAATTTCGCAACCAGTCAGTGTGAACCTCCACAGAAGGGGCCAAAGGGGAAGTATGATTGGGAAGCCCCACAGCTGGAGCAAAACAGGATGCGCCACAGTAGGAGTCAATCTGGAAGTCCCACCCTAGGAACGAATTGGTAAACTCCGCAGTCGGAATCAGTTCAAAATAAGCGCAAGCACGCGCCGATGACAGTCTCGTGGGATGGAGTAAAACTCTCGACGCCTCGCGTGCCTCCGCCAGCCCATCCAGCAGCGACGCCCCAGGAGAGTTCGCGTCTAGTAGGGACGGCGAGAAACGCACAGGTCGAAAGCAGGGAGTGGACTCCCTCCCCGGAGGGGGCAGGAGAGCAAGGGGTCAGGAGAACGAGCTCTTGAAACGACCTACGCCGAGGAGGTGCAAGCACTGTTCGGGGGAAATGGGAAGCCGTGCCGATACCTCCACCGTTTTTGCCCTGCTTGGGCCCCCTGGGATGCCCTCGTCGCCACGGCTGGACTCGCCTTGACATGTCGGCCAGAACGCACCCGGTGAGGGGTTCGGGGAGTAGCGGTATCTTTTGATCGGAGGTTGATAGACCTCCTACCTTGACACGTCGATTGAAGGAACTGGCCGTCTTCGGTTCGCGAGAGGGCGGCGCGGCCGCCATTTTTGCGGGTCCAGGTCCGTCGGCTTCGGGCCCAGGCCGTTCTCATTGAGGTGAGGTTTACCAAATGGGAGGTGTAACTCCACCGCCGATATGATCTCCCCCAGAAGCGGGCGGATGGCAACGGGGGGGTGACCCGAGCACCTGGCATCGCTCGGACGTGTGCATTTTTTCTCGGCGAGGGCCATCGAGGAGCATCCTGGACCATCGAGGAAAGAAATACGCACGAAACCGAAAAATGCACGGGAAATGGACGTCCGAGCGACGGCAAGAGCAGGGGGTGGAGAACAGGGGCCCTTCTAGGGCCCCGTGGGGAGCCGGCAGGGGCCCCTCCGCCGCCCCGCCGCCCAGAAGCCCTCGCCGACGCCGCCGACGACGCCGACGACGACGACGACGACGCCGCCGCCGCCGGCCACGACGACGCCGCCGACGACGACGCCGCCGCCGACGACGCCGCCGCCGCCGACGCCGCCGACGACGACGACGACGATCTTCGCCGGGTCCGGTTCGGCTCGATCGCCGATGCGACCCATCGGTTCGGTGCTGGGCTCTCCTGCCCTCCTCGGGCCGCGGTGGGGGGGGGAGCACGGACCACCGCAGTCGAGAAGCCCTCGGGGAGGCCGGGCCCCTGGGCGGCGGCGCGGGGGTGGCGCCCGGGCGTGCCATCGCCCAGGGGTCGCCCTGCCCTCGGCGGGTTCTCGGTGGCGGTGGCCCCCTGCGATCGCACGCTGCCAGAACAAGCCCACCCGACCCATTTTCGGGGTTGGACAGGCCTCCTACCCTGCCACGTCGATTGAGGAATTGGCCGTGTTCGGTTCGCGAGAGGGCGGCGCGGCCGTCGTTTTTGCGGGTCCAGGTCCGTCGGTTTCGGTCCCAGGCCGTTTTCACTGAGGGGAGGTTTACTAAGGGAGGTTTAACTCCACCGCCGACATTTGCACTACGTGACAGGAGCTGGCCCAGAGTCGTTCGGCAGATGACGCCACTTGATCTGTCATTGGTTGTGCAAGCTTTATGGGCAGCGCGCGCGTTTGCGCGACTCGCAGGACAGCAGAAAAGGAAGGACGATGGAGTGAGGCCCTGGGCTCGGAGAGGAAGTGGGGGTGCGCACGAGGGGCAGGAAAAAGACGGAAGAGGGGCCGAAACGTCAACGCGTCAGCAGCAGTGAGATGGCGAAGTAGGAAGAAGACGAGAACAGAAAAAACAGGATGAGGAAAGAGGGTGGCGGTCATTTTCCATTGTCGCGCTGGAAGAGCAGCGCGGCCCGCGCCATGTCGCTCTGGCGCTCCAGAGGATCAGCTACGCATAGCTAGTGCAACGAGCGAACGACGCCCACCTCGCCCACCAGGTTCTCCGCTTCCTTCCTGCACAGTGCGTCCCCGGCGCGAAGCGCCCGCAGGCGCGCTGCCAGCTCTTCGGGGCCCGCGGGGCGTCGCTCCGCTGGACCCCCCGGCAGCCCTCGAAAAGGGCGACCGCTTCGCAGATCGCCCTCCCCAGGACTGGCGAGGCCTGGTGTAGGTCCGCGTGGGCCGTCGCTCCGCTGGACCCCCCAGCAGCCCTCGCAAGCGGCGACCGCTTCGCACCTGGCAGCCCCCCAGGGATGGCGAGGCCCAGTTTAGGTCCGCGTGGGGCGTCGCTCCGCTGGACCCCCCAGCAGCCTTCGAAAGTGGCGACGCCTTCGCGTATCGCAGCCCCCCAAGGATGGCGATGTCTAATTTGGGTTCGCGTGGGGCGTCGCTCCGCTGTCCCCCCAGCAATTTTCGAAATTGGCGACACTTTCGCGTGTCGCAGCCCCAAGGATGGCGAGATTTACTCTAGATCCGCGCGGGGCGTCGCTCCGCTGGACCCCCCAACATACTTCGAAAATGGTGGCAGTTTTGTTGATCGCAGCCGCGCAAGGATGGACGGGGTCTGCTTTAGGTCCGCTTGGGGCGTCGTTCCGCTGGACCCCCAGCAGCCCCCAGGACTGGCGAGGTCTAGTTTAGATCTGCGTGGGGCGTTTCTCCCCTGGACCCTCCAGCAACCCTCGAAGGTGGCGACGGTCTGGCAGATCGTGGCCCCCCCCCCCCCCTTAGGGATGGCGAAAACAAATTTGAGTCCGCGTGTGGCGTCGTTGCGCTGAACCCCCCGACAGCCCTCGGAAGTGGCGACGTTTTCGCAGATCGCAGCCCCCATGGCGAGGTCTCATTTTGATCCGCGTGGGGTGGAAGTCCGCTGGCCCCCCCAGCAGCCTTCGAAAGTGGCGACAATCTCACAGATCGCAGCCCCCCAGGGACGGCGAGGTGTAATTTAGACCAGGGTGGGGCGTTAGTCCGTTGGACCCACCCAAGTAGCTCTCGAAAATGGTAACAGTGTCGCAGATAGCAGCCCCCCAGGGATGGCGAGGAGGCCAGGTAGCAGGCAAATAGGACGAAGGGCAAAAAGCATGTCGGAGGCAGGGTAGCAGGCAGGTCAGAGGGGGAAGAGGGGTGGAGGGACGCGGGGGGGAAAAAGTAGAGGCCGCAATGCGCTATCCAAAACGAGAACCCAACGCATGAGGATTTGGACAACTGCGACATCGCACGACCCGGGCGTTGGACCTCATCTCTGCATCGTGTTTCAGGCCGGATCGATCAGTGAGGGCCCCGGGCCCGGGAACACCGGGCGGAAACGCCCTTCTCGGCGAAAGGACGAGGAGGAGGAGGAGGAGGAGGAGGAGGAGGAGGAGGAGGAGGACGAGGAGGAGGAGGAGGAGGAGGAGGAGGAGAAGGAGGAGGAGGAGGAGGAGGAGGAGGGCTGCTCTCAATCGGCGACGTCAGGCTCTCAGGGCCCGTGCTCCTCCTCTGACCTCCGCCGTGGCCGCCCTCGGGGCTGGCGCTGCGGTCTGCCCGAGCCCGAGGGGCGCCCGCGGCGCCCGCGACGCCAGGCTGCGCGAGCGCATGCCGCGCATCGGCGCGCTGCCGCCGCGCCGGCTCCTGGAGATGACGGTGCTCGGGCCTCGAGTACTCTGCACGCCCGAAATGGGTACTGAAAGAATGGGTACGATGCCCAACAGCAGTTCCTGTTCATTCTGAACAGGGCTCGCTGTCCGCGCCGCCGCGGCCTGTGTCCATTCGAGACAGAAGGCCGCCTGTCCAACAGCGGCCGCTGTTGGTTTGGGACAACATTTGTTGTTGGGCATTGTACCCATTCTTTCGGTACCCATGTCGGGTGTCCAAGAGTACGTAATGCGTGGGTGGGACAAATGTCAAGCAGTGGCGAAGCGTCCTGGCTCGCCTATCGCCCCACCAGGGCATGCTCTAAGAGCCTTTCGGTGGTTTCCATGAAGTGCTCTTGGAACATTTCTGGCGGAGTCTGTCTTGGTTTATCACATCGGGTTCATGTTCTAAGAACAATGCTTTTGTTCTTAGAACAGTTGTTGGGTTCTACGAACACTTCGTGGTAGGACTATAGGAATGCCGGGACGTTCGGTCCCTGCTCAAAAATGGGGGGTGAGGAAAGGGGCACCTCTTGTGCCCCCAAGGGGCCCCGAAGGGGCCCCCTTCTGGGGCCTCAAAGGGCACGACGGGTGCACGTTTCTCCTCCCCCCCCTCCCAGACCCCGACGTCATGATTTTTCGTAGCGTCGACACCCAAATGTTTCATCCCGTTTTCATCCTGAGACGTTTTTTGACGGTCCCGAGGCCCAGTAGGGTCCTCCTGGGGGCCGAAAACAAACAAAAACCGTCCGTCGTTATTCTCTCATAACTCGAGGGGGTCTGGGTTCAGCGCACTCCCATTTAGTTAAGACGCCCGAGGTGCAGCCGCCGCCCTCGGAGAACATCGAGGAGGCGGTGCAGATCCTGTGGGAGCCCAGCTCCGGGCTTTGGCGGCGGCCGAGGGGGACGAGGGCATCGTCGTCGTCGTCGTCGCCGTCGTCGTCGTCGTCGTCGTCGTCGCCGTCGTCAACGTCAACGTCGTCGTCGTCGTCGTCGTCGTCGTCGTCGTCGTCGTCGTCGTCATCGTCCTCTTTGTCCTCGGCGTCCTCGGCGTCCTCGTCGTCCTCGTTGTCCTCGTCCTCGTCGTCGTCGTCGTCGTCGTCGTCGAAGCGGGGCGGCGGTGGTGGCTGCGACGAGCGCGGAGCGGCGACGGCGGCAGCCCCTGCCTCGTGCCGGCGCTGGTGCTGCTGCTGTTGCGGTGCCTCCTCGCCGGTCTGTCGTCGCGATGCGCACCGCTCGCGGTGCGCCTGCCCCTCTTCCTTCAGGAGGGAACAAAAACACACAGACACAATTAGTTGTCGATTCCCCAGAAGATATGGGGAAATGTGGGAGGTGGGGGGGAAGACAAAAACCCAGAAAATGTACGAAAGTATAGGGAATCCTGTTATTTGTGGGCCTTCGGCTCAAACAAAAGGGAATCCTGTTATTCGTGTCTATTTATTTGTGTGTCCCAGGGCCCCTTCATTCCTGCCTGTCATCGTCATCCGTGCATACGTCCTGGCGATGTGAATGGCAATCTTGGGGCGGGAGGCTCGAACTGTCAGTTCGAGTTCCACCTCTTGGGCCTCATTGGGGCCATCTCAGGGGCATCTTGGGCCCTCTTGGAGGCCTCTTGGAGCGTCCAGGGAAGATCTTGGGAGGTTCTGGTCGCCCTCAAGACAGAAAAGCCAATTTTGTGTCAGCCATGCAGTGGGTGTTCAATGGTTTTGGCCTTTTCGGCTGGTCCGCAAGGCCTCCAAGACTGCCGCAAATGTGCCCAAGAGGTCTCCAGGATGAGCTCAGATGCCATCTTAGGCTGTGTTGGAAGTGTGGGACCCCAGCTGCGATACCTGGGCATCTTGGAAGGTCATGCGACCGTTCCTACAAATCCTGCGGGGAGCCCTGGGCAATCCTTTCCACAGTCTTCCTGGTTCGTCTGGAACTACCACTGTACTCGGTACGTATGGCTTACCGGGACCTGAGGACACTTTCCTGAGCACCAGCGACACGGTGGCGGATTAGGTTTTTGGTTGCGAGGATAATGATGGGCGATGGTGGTGGTGATGGAGGTGATGATGGTATACTGGTGATGATGCGTTTTCTCAATTGGTGTTGATGATGAGGTGGAGGAGGATGATTGCGAGGACAGAGATGAAATATTTGTTGATGATGATGCTGACGCTGATGCTGCTGATGGTGATGCTTCTGACGATGATGCGGATGCTGCTGCTGCTGATGATGCTTATGTAGATATTGCTGCTGCTGATGATGATGATGATGATCAATGATGGTGGTGATGCTGCTCCTGCTGATGATGATGATAATGATGATGTCGATGATGATGATGATTATGATGATGATGATGATGATGATGATGAGGATGATGATGATGATGATGATGATGTCTATGACGATGATAATGAGGACGTCGACGACGATGCTACTGCTGTTGATGATGATGGTGATGATAATGATCACGATGACGAAGATGATGCTGCTGATCATGCTGACGATGATGATGGTGATGGTGATGGTGCTGATGATGATGATGCTGATGTTGATGGTGGCGATTGCCATTCTGATGATGATGCTGATGGAGATGATGAGACTGGTGACGATCATTATAATGATGATGATGCTTCTGGCGATGATGATGATTATGATGATCATGATGGTGATGATGGTGATGATGATGATGATGATGATGATGATGATGATAATGTTGAGGATAATGATGGTGCTGCTGCTGCTTCTGCTGCTGCTGGTGATGATGATGATGATGGTGGTGGTGGTGATACTGATGGTGATGCTGCTGCTGCTGCTGATGATGCTGATTTTGATGATGATGGTGATGTTGCTGATGATGATGGTTGTTGTGGTGGTGGTGGTGGTAGTGGTGGTGGTGGTAGTGGTGGTCGTGATGATGATGAAGATGATGATGATGATGATGATGATGATGATGATGATGATGATGATCATGATGATAATGATGAGGCTGATGCTGCTGCTGCATCAGATGACCATACTTGTGATTACGTTGTTGTTGATGGGGATACATGTGTTCACGATTATGCTGACGATCATGAGGCGCCCGATGATGTCGTGGATGCTGATGAGGCTGATGAGGCTGATGCTTGCGTTAGCGTTGCTGCTGCCTGCTGCCGACGGCGCTGTTGCTCATACTGTTCATACTGATGCTGCTGCTGGTGATGATGATTCTGGCGATGGTGATGATGATGATGATGATGATGCTCTGATGCTGATGCTGATGCTGATGCTGATGCTGCTGATGACGATGGCGATCACCATGATGCTGATGATGATGATGTTGATGGCGAGGATGATGATGGTGATGATCGTGGTGATGATGATGATGATGATGATGATGATGATGATGATGATGCTGATCATGAATACGATGTATACGATGATGATGCTGATGATGATGATTATGGTGATGATGAGACAGATGACGATGACCATGATGATGATTATGTCGATGATGATGATGAGGAGGAGGAGTAGGAGGATGAGGAGGAAACTCATGGTGCTGCTTCTGCTGCTGCTTCTGCTGCTGGTTATGTTCATGATGATGGTGGTGATGATGATGGTAATGATGATGATGATGGTGATGATGCTGATGATGCTGATGATGATGCTGATGATGATGATGGTGGTGGTGATGATGATACTGATTATGATAATGATGCTGATGATGATACTGGTGATGATGAAGATGATGATGAGGATGATGATGCTGTTGATGATGATGATGATGATGATGACATCGATGGTGATGCTGATGATGCTGATGATGATCGATGATGATGCTGATGCTGATGCTGATGATGATGATGATGATGATGCGGATGATGATGAAGATGCAGATGATGATGATGATGATGATGATGATGATGATGATGACGATGATGATGATGATGATGATGATGATGATGATGATGATGATGATGATGCTGCTGCTGCTGCTGTCGATGATGCTGATACTGATGCTGATGCCGATACTGATGCTGATGCTGATGCTGATGCTGCTGATGATGATGATGCTGATCATGATGATGATGATGATGACGATGATGATGACGATGACGATGACGATGACGATGACGATGATGATGATGATGATGATGATGATGATGATGATGATGATGATGATGATGATGATGATGATGATGATGATGATGATGATGATGATGATGATGATGATGATGATGATGATGATGATGATGATGATGATGATGATGATGATGATGATGATGATGATGATGGAAAGAGTGTGTTCTACCGTTGCTGGCAGAAAACCGGGGGAGGTCAATGGAGGTTTCCAACCCGTCCCCCCCGCCACCGTTCCCCCCGCCCCACTCTCGAAAACTGGGGGGGTCACTAGGGGTTCCAACCCCCCATCCCCCCCCTCGGTCCATCTTGAAAAAGGGGGGGTGGTCACTGCCGGTTCGAACCCCTCCCCCCCCTCTCCTGGAAAACCAGGGTAGGGGTCACTGCCGGTTCGAACCCCCTCCCCTCCATCCCCCCCTTCCCCCTCGCCGCAACGACTCCCCCTCCTCTCCCACCCCAGAAAGGGGACAGGTGAAGACAGTGGTTGGGACGGTGGTGGGGGATGGTGGTGGATAGTGGGGACAGTGGGAAGAGTGGGACCGTGGAGGGGACAGTGGTCGGGACAGTGGGGGCAGTGCGACAGTGGTGGGGGCACTGGCGGGGACAGCAGTGGGACAGTGGTGGGGACGGTGGTGGTGGGGACAGCGGTGAGGGCGGTGGCTAGGACGCTGGAAGGACAGTGGTACAGTTGGGAGAGTGGTGGGGGCAGTGGGAACAGTGGGACAGTGTTGGGGACAGTGTGGACAGTGGGGCAGCACAGTGGGACAGCGGTGGGGATAGCGGGAACAGTGGGACAGTGGTGGGGACAGTGGGGACAGTGGGACAGTGGTGGGAACAGTTGGGGCAGTGGGGAGATAGTGGTCGGGACAGTGGTGGGGGCAGTGGGGGCAGTGCGACAGTGGTTGGGGCACTGGTGGGGAAAGTGGGGACAGTGGTGGGAACAGTGGTGGGGACAATGGGACGGTGGTGGGGACGGTGGTGGTGGGGACAGTGGTGAGGGCGGTGGTTAGGACGGTGGTCGGACAATGGGACAGTGGTACAGTGGGGAGAGTGGTTGGGACAGTGGGACACTGATGGGAACAGTGGGACAGCTCAGTGGGACAGTGGTGGGGATAGTGGGGACAGTGGGACAGGGTGGGGATCCTGGGAAACAGTGGGAACCGTGGTGGGGACGAGTGGGACAGTGGGGAGAATGGGACCGTGGTGGGGATCAGTGCGGGCGGGTAGAGTGGGGACTGTGCGATTGGTGGTTGGGGCATATGGTGCCGTAACAGTGGAGAACCGATGGTGGGAAAGTGGGACAGTGGGACAGTGCTGGTGACGGTTGTGATGGGACAGTGGTGACCCCACCCGCGGTTTTCCTGAGAGGGGGGGGGAGGGGTCCCTGCCGGGGAAAAGGGTGGTCGGGGGGGGGGTTTCGAGCAAGGAGGCAAGGGAGGGGGGATTTTCCAGAGAGGGGGGGGGGGATTGGTGGGGGGGTGGTTCTGCCGGGTGGAAAAGGGGGAGGGGGGGATGGGGGGTGTCGAGCAATGGAACGAGGGGGGGAGGGATTTTCGGAGGGGGGGGGGGGACCCCCGGGTTCGGAGGAAAAGGGGCAATTTTCCACAGTAAAGCGGCGGGGATCACGCTGCTCTGATGATGATGATGATGATGATGATGATGATGATGATGATGATGATGATGATGATGATGATGATGATGATGATGATGATGATGATGATGATGATGATGATGATGATGATGATGATGATGATGATGATGATGATG